GCCCGCCGGGGGTCCCGGGTGCTCAGCTCCCCGACATCCCTCCTAATTTATTCGCTTTTCTATTTGTACGTCTGGGCCGGGAGCTCCGGCTCGCGCCCAGGTGGCCTTGCCCATCTCAGGAGGCGGGCGGTCCCTGTGGGCTGGGGCTCCCTCCCTCCCAGCCCTGCGCTGCCCGCACCGTGTCCCTGAGGACATGGCAGCCCACAGGAAGCCGGGGTGGGGCAGGTCCTCCCTCCTCCGCCTCCGCTCCTGCCCCCCCCCACACTTTAGTACCGTTTTTTTGTACTTGATGCCTCCCCACCTCGCCGGGGGTCTCCGGGCAGGACCCCTCCCTGTACTGATGGCTCTAGGGGCCTCATTGAAAGACTGCGTGAGGATGGAGACCAGCGGAAGCAGGGGTGCTCCTCGGTGTGTAGAGAGATGATGATGGCCATTGCTGTGAGATGATTTGGAATTTAATTTATTAAAGTCAAATTGGAATTTATAATCTGGACCATTGGTTATCCTTTGAAAGGGGAAGGGGCAGGGAGGCTGTGGGGTTGATGGGATGGGAGGATCCCACAAGGCCCAGGGAGGGGGGAGGGGACACACATATTAGGTTTTCTAAGACCTTCCTTCCTACCCAGCCAGTGTGGCTCAGTGGGTGAGCATCAACCTGTGAACCAGGAGGTCATGGTTCCAATCCCAGTCAGGACACATGCCGGGTTGCTGCTCGATCCCCAGTGTGAGGCATGCAGGAGGCAGCTGATCCATGATTCTCTCTCATCATTGATGTTTCTTTTTTTAAAAAAATATATTTTATTGATTTTTTACAGAGAGGAAGAGGGATAGAGAGTTAGAAACATTGATGAGACAGGAACATTGATCAGCTGCCTCTTGCACATTCCCCACTGGGAATGTGCCCGCAACCAAGGTACATGCCCTTGACCGGAATCGAACCTGTGACCCTTGAGTCCGCAGGCTGACGCTCTATCCACTAAGCCAAACCAGCTAGGGCTCATCATTGATGTTTCTATCTCTCCTTCTCCCTTCCTCTCTGAAATCAATAAAAATACACATTTTTTAAAAGTTCCTTCCTGCAGGGAGGAAGGGCCATGTAGAAAGAGGATGAAGAACAAGAGTCTTTAAAGAGTGAAGTTATAGCAAAAAAGGCAGTTTGCTAGTACAGGCTGAAAGGGCGAGGGCTACGTCCTCCATCTTGCCCCAGATCCTCCATTTTTGGGCAGCAGCCATTAGCCATGTGCTCAGCAAGGAGCTTCTTCCCGGAAGCCCAAGCCTCTGCTAGCCACACCTAGGATTTCTTTAAACTAACCAATGACAAGGGAAGTGCTTGCCATAGACACAACCACATCCTGTGTAACAAGACCCTGACTTGCATCTGGCCAATCAGCAGGGCCCACAGTCCTCTCTCCTCCCCTTACTCCAACCCTCCTATAAACCCCCTCTTCCCACAGGGCTCTCTCTCTCTGTCCCCTGCCGCTGCGTTGGCGAGTGTGGTGGACGGAGAGCTCGAACTAGCTCGAATAAAGACTTTTTGCTTTTGCATCAGACTCGGCTGTCTCCCTGGTGGTCTTTTGGGGATCCTGAAATCTGGGCATAACATTTGGGGGCTCGTCCGGGATCCCAAGCCCCCCAAGGGACCCCGATCTGGAGAATCTGACTGGCTGCGGTAGGTGTCTGTGTGTTGTGTATTCTGTTCTGTGTGTTATATGTTCTGTCCTGTGTGAGCTCACTTCTGAAATTCTGTAGTGCCCGAAGCGGTCTAGGACTAGGTGGACACACTGCTGAAGGACCATGGGCAGGGAGAGTCGGAAGACGTTCCACTCTTCAGGAGGGACGTGTATTCGCCTCGAGGATCTGAGACAAGGCGGGTCGCTCCCGCCGGTTGGCGTACGGCCATCGTCTAGCTTTCGGGTTTGCTTCCATGGAGTTGGAAGGCTGTACTTTTGGGCCCTTTAGTTGTCTGTGTTTGTGTTTTTTTAATGTTTTATTCTGTGGACTTACTGGACGGACATTATGGGACAGACTCAAACTACTCCTTTAAGCATTATGGTTGATCATTTTAAAGAGGTAAAGGGAAGAGCCAGCAACCTCGGTGCGGAGGTCCAGAAAGGTCGGTGGCAGATTTTTGTTCCAGGGAGTGGCCGACTTTTAATGTCGGGTGGCCGCCGGAGGGGACTTGTGACCTCCCCACCATCCACCGGGTTAGGGACGTCGTCTCCCAACCCAAGGAGGGACATCCTGATCAACTCTCTTACATTGGTACTTGGCAGGACCTCGTGGAAGACCCGCCATCTTGGCTTAGGCCCTTCCTACCTCCACGCCCTCCTGGGCTGAAGCCCATTCCAGCAGGGCTTATTGATCTGTTAGATTCTGTCCTTTTCACCCACCAGCCTACATGGGACAACTGCCAGCAGCTTTTACAGGTCCTGTTCACAACTGAGGAGAGGGAAGGAATCCTCATTGAGGCCCGGAAAGTGGTTCCAGGCATGGACGGGAACCCAACCAACAACCAGGCCCAGATAGATGTCTCTTTTCCCTTAACTAGGCCCGAATGGGGTTTCAACATGGCAGAAGGTAAGGAGAGGCTTTGGGTCTACCGTCAGACTCTAATGGGGGGTCTCCACAGGGCTGCTAGAAAGCCCACCAATTTGACCAAGGTAGGGAGCGTACAGCAGGAAAGAGATGAGTCTCCAGCTGCCTTTCTAGAACGGATCATGGAGGCATATCGTACCTATACCCCCATGGAACGGATCATGAAGGCTTACCGCACCTACACCCCCATGAATCCAGAAGCTCCTGAAAACAAGGCAGCTGTGATCATAAGCTTTGTAAACCAATCGGCCGTGGATATTAGATAGAGTTTTGAGCTGTATTCTCTTTACTAATGTACAAAATAAAACCCCAAGACTGATTATTTCCTAAGAAAAATGGCAAAATTTTACCCAAAGGAAAAAAGATACTGGCTAGATTCTAGCAGCAGGATTGGCATTTCCATAATAAAGAACAGTTTTTAAATGCTAATGAAGGGTGTTAAAAAGTTAATTTCAAAGCCTAAAAGGAAATTCAGTAAAATTGTCTCTGTTACAAAAATTTGCTAAAGAATATGCCTTAAAATAATAATTTTAATTTGAATCTCAAGAATTATTGAACTATATTAATTATAAAAATCTAGCCGAAGCCGGTTTGGCTCAGTGGATAGAGCATCGGCCTGCG